GTTGTTGTGTCTTAGGGAACCATATAGGATACAGATATTGTTTATTTCATAGAGATAATACTTATTGCTATTTAGGGGACCGTTCAGGCTAAAAATTACTGGGTGATTTATAGAAAATATTTATAAGGATAAATATTTTTACCGAAGAGGAGGGGGTGTGTAACGAAGTTGCGTATTTTTATTTTTTCTTTTGTTTTAAAAGGTACCGCGAGTTTAAGTGCATATTTCAATAATATTATTTTCAATCCTCAAATAAATTATTAATTTTGCGCGTGACCTTGCTTCGAGTGGACGATTCTCAGCCGCGCCGGCAGGCGCATCGCTTGCTTGAGAAGCGCTGTAGTCTTTTGGTCATTTGGGTTCCCACCGCCTCAACATGTGACGACGCTCGCCCATTTAAGGCAGTTGAAAAAAAAAAAACGTAACTTCGTTACAATACAAAACTTTGCTATTGAGAATGATTTCTGACAAAAACTTAGTAATTTTCAATGTGTATGTGAATTATGGGGGGCTAGTCATGATTCTTTCATAAAGAAAAATTCTCAATTATGTCTGTATAATATGTATAGTCAGAAACTTCTCCACTATTCTTGCTCGTAGTCCAATTGCGTTTAAATGATCTATTAATTCCCCCCATGTATGCTGTTTCATTGCTATTTCCGTCAACATCACTCGCGAAAAAAATTAACAAAATTAACTCTAACCACAAATCAAAACAGAAAATCAAAGGCGATTTCGCCCTAGATTTTCATCTCTGTTTGGTAGGCGAATGGTTAAGCAATTGGTACGTATGAGTGACGTAGCTAATAATCTCATCCGAATTTAGTGGGTTGGGCGTTTGGTACATTTTGACTTTGGCATGTTTATTTAGAATTTAATTATTGTGCTCCAAAGTGAGACAGAAAGCTACCAAACGTTCACTACCCAGTTACAAACCGCGGTATAGCATTTGACAGACCAAAGCGTCTACCAAAGTTGCAGTGACGGCATCATTCTCCCATCCGAAATTGATTGGTACCTGTTTGACAGACCAAACTGGGGTAACAAACGAAATCGCCTGAAATTTTCAAAAAAAAAAAGATAAGACAGGCTTACGTCAATTGTGATTATGCAGAATCAGAAGGAAAAATAGCAATACCCAAAGGGGTCTTTCTATTTCCTTTGACACGAGCAGGTAGTTTGGGGTAGCGACTCTAGCCGAGTGGGGTTAGAGAGTTCATTGGGTTAGAGAGTTCCGTTTCGTCATTTTTCTATCATGGAAAAGAAATTTCCTCTCTATGTTGTTACAAAGTACGGCAGCTGATATTTAGGCTACATGCAATGCTTTAAGCAGTAGCTACTACTTTATTCGAAATAACTAAACTTCGAATATTTTGTGACATAATATGCCAATCAATTTAAAATTTAATTTCGAATTTTCCGACAATCAAAAAAAAAGCGACTCGTTTTTCCCTGCAGTAAAATGTAATGCCAACACTTTTTTTTTGTTTTTTAACTTAATTTTCGAAAATAATTAAAAACTCCCAGCGGAGCTTAACGCATGTTTGAAGCGTAAAAAAATTATTATTGCCTCTATATTGTATTTGAGTAAAATATGGAGAGTATTTTAAAGTGCATTTATTGATTTTTGAGCCAATTATTATTTTTAATTAATAATAACAATAATTGGACCGATATACGGGCTCTCTATGCCATGCATTCTGCATGCTGAAGTACTTTTGATATTCTATTCCGTTTTTAATTTTTCGAAGCGTATATACGCATCAGGATTGAAATTGCGAGCGACATTTTTTTCTCCTCTCTTCTGGTTTACGAATAAATAACTTATTAATTTCATTTAGAATATTCGAATAATTTTATTAAATTTTATATTCCATGAAAATGTTGATAGATATTTGATTTTATATTCTTTGACAAAATTTTATCATATAGGTACCGGGCTAATCAAGTTTTTTTCTAGTTATTTGAATTTAAAAAATCGAAAAAGCTACAAAGAAATTTAAATGATTGAGGAAATCAAAATGTACTGTCGAAATCTGGAAGATAACGATGTCCATTTATTTCGTTTATATTTTTTCTTTGGATGCTTTTTGTAGGTATGAATATTTTTTTTTTTTTCTACACAATATCATTTTTAATATTTGTCTTTAGACTTTAGACCCTCCTCATCAACTTAACTTCCTACATACCTCGCTAGGACTAACGGCTAATCCAATTATTGGAAAATTTTGGATTTCCATGAATCATGTATGAATGTGGACTTTTAGAGGGTACAAACTGAAATGATGAAAGCTTTTATCACTTCTTTGGGTTGCCCTACAGCTGCTCAGACAAAGGTTTAGGAGGCAATGGGCGTGGGTTATCTTTATGTGATGTTGTTTTTATTTAGCGCCAGGCCTACAATAGGCCAATTAAAATAAAACCAAAAATTTAAAACAATTTTAATAACTATTTATTCAAATAGAATTAATTCATTAATTAATTCCAGCAATTAATTTAAAGGAATTTGCAGTTAATTGCAAAATACACAATAATCAGGATTAGCAACAATGCACGATGGAAACCAAGGTCGGTTAACAAGTTGCTTACCTACTTTATTACATAAGACGTAAAATACATTAAATTCTTACACTCAATTAAGTTGACATGTAAGAAGAACGAGCAAATTAGATTTTACAGTGAATCTGCGTCACCTAAATCTAACAAAAGTCTCTAATACAAGTTAAATTCTTACATACCATGCGGTTGTTATGTAAGACTTAAGAAAATATTCACTGACGTAACCTGAACATAACTTTGAGAAACGACAGTTTTGGTTAATAAAGAAATGAGAATAAGATAAAAAGAACTTAAAGTTTTCCCAAAGTAAGCACAAAGTCAGTCAGTGAATTTTTCCAAAAAAATTAATGAAAATACAATAATTACTGCCAAACAAATATTGGACTGTATGATTATACCAAACTACCAAACAGGCAGATATAGTTATAAAATTACATAACTTAAATATAGTTTGCCTGTGGAACATGCGAAGTTTCCCTCACAATAATTCGTCAGGAACTTCTAAACGCCACACAGCAAATGCGGTGTCCACGAAAACTCCCCACAAATTTCTTAAAGCCGCCACTGATATTGGTTGACGAAGTCGGCCACCAGCCAAAACAAACGTAGACTCGTCGTCAAAAGGACTGCTTCCAAAGAAAGGAACCAAGGCTTCTTGATTCTTAGCAACAGGTAGATAACTTTTAGAGGCTCAAGCTCGTCGATTCATCCAATTGGCATGGAGGAAATGAAGTTTAAACTGGTTTTTGGACTATGATAAAATCTGACTAATAGCCAAAATTCAACTGGAAATAAGCTTCAACCAGTGGATAAAAAATTGAACTTGAAGGTAGTAAAATCTGATGAAAAGTAGTGAAACACCTGATGTAAAAGGTAATCAAAAACCTGATGTGAAAGGTATTTAAAAGCCTGAAACAAAGGATTTCACTATAGGATGGCCACGTGCCTTATGAAGACTAATTTACCTGTTGATCTGGTTTTGCGGACGATTGTATCCACCAAAATCCCATTTCTGACATATGCTGTGAATTCTCAATGAGAAATTTTAAATTTTATTTTAATTTTGTGGCTTTAATCGCCTATGTAGGTATCAGATCACTTCTCTTCAAGTTCTGGCAGCTGAAAGAGACGACATTTTCCAGCTTTTCCCTTGAATAATCTCTTATTGTTAAAAAAAAAAATGACATTTCCACGCTGAAAGCGCCAAAATCCAATAATTGAGGTTAATGTGTGAATGACTTTTGATGTACTGCTCTGTCGAAAAGAAATTCCTTTGCGGAACCAACGAAACCACCTTTGTGCTCTAATAGTGGTTCGAACACTAATTGACCTTTTCAATTTCAAAACCCTCTCTCTCTGGCGTCAAACTGTCAGACGCCAAAAGAGTATGAAAACAACGGTTGACAGCCGCTGACAGTGGTTTGTTGACAAGACTTTTGTACATGTGGAAACTGGAAACTATTATTTCTTCGGTTTTTTCAAAGTTTTTTCCTAACAATAGTGATTGTGTAGTGTGCCTTTTTGTAAAAATAATTCCTATTTACCGGCGGACGTGTCTTTCCATAAGTTTCCATCAAATCCTACATTTGTCAAATTTTGGATACATAAAATCAGAAAGAATACTTGCAAAAAAAGGGAAATCCACGGCCTATCAAGTATACAAAGTAATCCCCGTTCAAGTTTAGTTTGCGGGAGGTGCTTGCTTCCAAAATAATCCACCGCTTTCTCCATAGCGAAGTTCTGCAAATGAAGTAGTGACTTTTCCTGCATTTTCTTTCAAAACACCTCAATACACACTGGCATTGACAAGCAAGCAAATGTTGGCGGGAAAATGATTGTTTTCATACTTTATTGTCCATCTCTTTTAATTGAAAACGTTAATTGACAGAAGTATTCCAATCGCGCTCGATAACCCTACTCGGTGCAAAATTCAGAACTGATTTGTATCATTGGAACGAGCATATTAAAATGCTTGTTACAAAATCAACATAAAAAATCCATAGAGATGATGAATGCAGTGTTAACTTGAAAATATTATATTGAAATGAGTATAGAAGAATAAAGATAACCGACCTCTGCCTGTTGATAAATAATGTTGCCCTTAACAGACTTAGCATTAAACTAGGCTAATTGCTAAAGCTCGTGCACGAAAATCCGCACCGCAAGATTACCATCATGAAGGTATATTTTTAGTGTTTTCCGCCAAACTATTCAATTATTTTTTACCTTAATCAACTTTAGAAATCAACATATAATCAATCCAGTTGAAGTCCAATTTTCCACTGCCGAATTGAATCTGATATTAGCCAATTAATTAAAAACTAATTACCTGCTGGCCTGCGTTATTTGATGAGGACAGCATAGCTCGCATTACTCTTCCACTAAATTGGACTATTTATCACTGCCTTCCCCTTATTAAATTCTGACATTCAATTTTTCAGACTCCCAGCTGCATCTCCTAGGCGAAAGCAGAAACTTTTCCCAACTGATATCAATGGATTTATCAGACAATGAGTTCTGTAATTTAGAGCTGACGCTGAAAAGTCTAGGGAGTGTCGAATCGTTGAAATCGTTATGCTTGGAAGGCAATCCTTGTGCGGTTAGTATACAATGTTTCACTTCGAGATGGCGCTGGCATATTATTGGATTTTTCTTTACGAGAAACCTAACTAGGTGGTGTATATGTCTACATTGTAAATATTTTATACTGATTGCATTTCAATAATTTGAGTCTAGAAAATCTTACAAAGTTATATTATGTGGAGAAAATTACACATTACAGTACTCAAGTCAGAAAGTGTTACTAAGGGTACACTGATATCACCAATAGTTGAAAAGTGCCTTGTCCATAAACCTTAGCTCTATATAGAATCCTAGTTCAATAACTAATATAATTTTAGGTGGTTTCAAATTATAAAACGGATGTACTTGAATGTATGCCCTCTTTACTATACCTTGACGCTACGGAAATTTTAGACAATGACAGGATTTCTTCTGAAAATACCCAAACACATCCTCATGTGGTGTTTCATTGCTTTCGCATTCTGGGACTGCCAGAACCTCCAAGAGACAAAAAAAGCGTGCAGACGATTCACATTGAAGTCAATTTTCCTTTGTTACGAATGGATTCTGAAGGCCCCAATAATGATTCTGCAGAGGAAATTAACTTTGAAGAAAAAGAAATATCAACTAACGAAAAAAACAGTCAAGAAAGTCTTCTTACAAACAAAAAGAAGACAAGTACAATAAAAAACAAAACAAAAAGTAGAGAATCAAAATCGAAATCGACTCAATCAAAAACTAAAGCAAAAAAATCATATTATACAATAGAAAATGAAGATATTAACGAAGCAAAACACACAAAATGGTACAAGTCTCAAAGGAAGCCATGGTCGAAAAAAATCGAATTTGATCCTATTCAAATAAATGATGACTACATACCTTTGAGTAGTATTCGAGACACTTTCAGAAGCATCGTTCCAGTCCGAATCATTTACTTAAAGGCAAGTTACAAAATTTACCACATTTTTATCTGTGATACTTTATGTGTGACGTTAATGCAAGGTTAATGGTTAATTTTTGCAAGTAAATTATGCTTGATTATTTAACGGCTGTGGGTCACATTTTTGACAGTTCATTATTTTGATAAGTTACAGCCAGTGTTGCCAGGTCATATTTTATTTTGTCAGTAGATTGCCAGTCTAAATATTAGTAGAAATCAGTAGACAGATAAGTTGCCTTGTTGAAGGGGTAAACCATTAGGGTATACTCAATTAATTATTTTATGTCATACCAATACATTATTGTGTTTTTACACCTTAGATACCAGCTACATAATTCATTACTTTATGCCCGTGCGGGCATAAAGTACACATTATGGCCCGCTCGGGCTTAAAGACGCAAAAAACAGTTTTCAATTAACTTATTCTTTATTACCAAAATAAAAATTTACGCTTATAAACATATTATTTTTGTCAAAAAATGATGATGTTTGCACACTGATGACAATTTGCGAAGTGACACTTTTTTCCCAGGTATTTATTATTCACAACCAACTGGTATGACATAAAAGTTTGTATGCACCACGGATACTAATAGATATATATACCCTCGGGCGACTTACGAACCCTCGGGCCAGAGGCCCTCGGCTTTGTAAGACTGTCGCCCTCAGGGCATAATCATCTACTTAGTACCCTTGATACATAAATAACTATTAACTACCCACGTTTATTTGGTTCTATATTCTTAAAGAGTGCAATTTCCCGATTCCAAAACTATATAGTTTGTCCATATTTGGTTGAGCCGGCTCCAACATATTTGGTTATAAAAATTTTAAAAATACTATCAGAGAAACCAAGTATCTACCTCCAATTTTACCTGCAGCTTTCACCTGTACAGGTAGAATGGTTTACAAAATCAGTATAGTAGGATAGTATTTTTACAATTATTGGAGCCGAATATATGAGAGACTATTCAATGAAATATAGACAAACTATATATTTTTGAAAAAAGCTGGAAGCATGCAAAATTTCACATTTCAGACGTTCAAATTTTGTTTCTGACCATGGTTTCAAAAAATTCAACCAAAACTGTACAACTTTTGTATTTACACCTTTTTTTCACTTGTAAAGGTAAAGGAGGTAGGTAGGGTGTAAAGATATAAAAAACACCCTGTACAAATAAGTGGATTATTGCAGAACTTATGGGGGAACGTCTGCGGGACGAGCGCAGCGAGTTCCGCAGCCATCTACTCACCAATATACTGTTGAACTATTCAAAAAAAAAACACTCACCTGAAACGTGTAGTTTTTGAACTAATGAAAAAAATTCATAACTGAGTGAATCAGGTTAGTATTTTACTTGAACAAAATATTGGTGAATAGATGGCTGAGTCCATCCATAAGTTCCGCAACAATCCACTCGTTTGTACTTAAATAACAATATTTTACTAGCTTGGTAAAGTAACATTACTAATTCCTGTTGAAAGGCGAATTGACAAAAAGTGAATAATAATAATCTTACAAATTCTGACTTTATATAATAAGTTATTGTTCAAGTACAAATAAGTGGATTGTTGCGGATTTTATGGGTGGACCTTTGCGCAGCCATCTACTCAGCAATATACTGTTGAATTATTCAAATAAGACATTAACCTGAAACACGTAGTTTTTAAACTAATGAGAATAACTCACATTTGAGTTAGTCAGGTTAGTATCGTAATTAAACAACATATTGATGAATAGATGGCTGCGGGACGGAGTTCCACTCATAAGTTCCGCAACAATTCACTCATTTGTACTTGAATTACTTGTCACAATATATTGCTAGTTTGGTAAAGTAACATTACTAATTCCTGTTGAAAGGCGAATTGACAAAAAGTGGATAATCTTACAAATTCTGACATTATATAATAAGTTATTTGTTCAAGTACACAATGTTTTTTTATGTATTGACACCCCACCTACAGCCTTCACCTTTACAAATAGATGAAAGGTGTAAATACAAAAGTATTGGCTAAATTTTTAGAATCCATGGTCAGAAACAAAAATTGAATGTCAGAAATGTGAAATGTTGCATGTTTTCAGCTTTTTTCAAATGGGAGTAACTATACAGTAGTCTAGTCTTATAAAAACAGGTAAAACAGGCTACAGTTAGTTGTACAGCATACCGCTATGTGACCAATTGACTAACCAACAACAACACATGCTTTTTAAAAAATGATATATGCAGTTCTATTTTCTCTAGGGATTTTTTATCCAAATATGGGTTAGTCAAAATTTCTTCACTGAAAACAGCATTATACGATTCACTCAATCTGGATTTCGACCTTTGCACAGTACTACAACTGCTTTGGTCAAAGTTACTGATGATATTTTTGAAGCTTGTGATCGATGTAAAAATACTGCTCTCGTACTATTGGATTATAGCAAAGCTTTCGATACACTTATTATATTTTGGTCTGGATGATTCTATTGTAACTTTTTTAAATAGCTACTTATCTAGTAGGACACAGATGGTAATTGTTAATAACTGTGAACCTCAAGTAAGACAAATATCAAAAGGGGTGCCTCAGGGAAGTATTCTAGGACCCTTGTTGTTCTCGTTGTACACATCTGACTTCTCTAGCTTCTTGAAATTTTGTCATTCCCATCAGTATGCTGATGATTTATAAATCTATTACTCCTTCTTTTCTCCAGATTATAAAATAGCGCAGGATCAGATTAATAAGGATCTTAATACTATATATGAAATATCGGAATCCCATAGTCTTAATTCTTAATGGTTCTAAGTCTCAGATCATCGTATTTGGTAAGCATCGTAATTTTCTCACAAACTTCGATGCTTTTGTCTGCCAATAGCTGTAAAAATTTGGGAGTCTTGATGGACGCCTCACTCCGCTTTATACCACATGTAGCAAATCTTCTACAAACTTCATTTGCAAAGTTACGGACCTTGTATTTGCACCGGGATTATTTGTCTACTGACATTAAGCTTAGATTGTGTGATACGCTAATTCTTTCTTCCCTAACATATTGTATTGTATACTGGCCTACTTTGCTCGTTAGGGATCGGGATAGTCTCCAAAAAATACAAAATGCGTGTCTGAGATTTTCGTATGGATTTCGTAAATATGATCATGTTACTCCACTTTATAGAGAATCTAAATGGCTCAATATGCAGCAAAGATATTTTATGCAAGCAGCTACTTTAACCAACAAAATAATTGACTCGCAACTACCCATATACTTGTATGAAAAACTTAGCCGTAGGTCCGATATTAGCGCTAGAACAACCCGTCATTGTAATCTGTTCAATGTTCCAAAGTATAGCTCTGCCCTTTATCAGCGATTTTTCACTTATAATTCCGTAAAAATTTATAATACCCTGCCTCCCTTAATGAAGTCCTGCCCTTCTGTGATAAGTTTCAGGAGAAATGTGAGAAAGTTAATCACTAATTAAGATTGTAACATTTGTTACTAAATTTGAGTTGTGAAAAAGGATTCGTTTCTATGTTAAGTATACTATTTTTTATTTTATTTTTTCCTTTATTGAAATTATGTATTTGAATTATGCTTTGAAATTTAATTCATTTCATTATAATGTCGGACAATTTGTAAAAATAAGGTGGTTAGATAGAGTAGCTTATAGCTAGATCTCGCCACCATTACCTCTTGTTGTATATTGGAACTTGTATTAATAAAGGCATTTATTATTATTATTATTATTATTATTATTACGCAACTGGCAAGACAAAAGGCAAATAAACAAGACAACAAAACACAACACAAACACGCAAGAACGCCGGGGATTCCCCAGTTAGGTTGAGTGCAGCGCCTGCACTGCGAGCGTTGGATTGTTTCAATACAAATCACACCGGACTGATCGGAGTAATCGGGCAGACGTCGTTCAGAGGACACTAATAGAAGTCCTAGCCCAAAGATCTCGTATGAAATTATTGCTGTGACATTCTCATACAAGATTTTCATTTAAAAAATATCATAAAAAGCAGGTAAATAATGTCAACGGTTTTTATCAGTAGAATTTACATTGATATCAGTATATCAGTAGACCTGGCAACACTGGTTACAGCATCTATTACAAGCATCTGCGGATCACACGGAGGCAACGCCACGAATATGGTCGAAAGTGTACGAACGAAACTTTTAGAATTTGACGCGACGAGACAAACGGCGGCTCCTTAGCATTTTTGTTTACCGTCTCTTTATTTATTTGACACAAAATTATTAATTATAATTCCATAGTTTTTCTTATTATCAATGACATGAAAGGGAGTTTTCGAGAAAGTCTCACCCAAAAAAACACATGGAAAACACAATTCACAACAAAAATACATCTACAAAAATAATGAAGTCCATAAGATGCCCATTTAACTGTGATTTTATTACCGACAGCAAAGACATTATTGTTTTACATATTACAAAAATTTTCACGGTAACAACTTAGACCCCAAGCCAAGAATTTAACATTTAATAATAAGGAAGACTTTTTTGAGTGGAAAAGAAAATTAGAGCAAGATACTATCAGAGCACAGTTTATAAAATATGTTGAAAGGAAAAATGGTACAATAATTATTTATTTTATTTTTCACCGAGATGGAAATTTACATAAACGCATTAAATTCACATTACGTATAGGTATTACGCTTACATAAACAGGCTTTATCGAATATCGATTTATTATTTAATAGCCTTGCTCGCAAGCTCGCTCGGTCATAAAATTATTCGTACAATAAATCCTTTCTTTATTGTACTGTACTTGTTATTTAATGTTATTTATATAAATAGCTATTATTCAACAATCTAGATTGAACACTGTGCCTTTCAAAATCTTACAGAAACAGCTTGGTTGTGATATAGCCTACAAATCAACTGTGAAGGGCGAAGGGCGATGTATCATTGGATTGTTACGCCTGACTTATCAATTATTTTTTTGTACCCGGGTCCCAGCTTGATACCCCATCCCGAAAAAAATAATTCTCATTAGTTTTTCTAAAATTTTCAGTTAAATATTATCGATATTTTATGAAATGGAAATTGCAAAATAATCCTAGAATATAACAATAATATTCATCAGGATTCAGGACAAGGAGGCGAAGGCGTCAAAAAACAAACAGCAAAAACGTTATGGGCGCTGTATTCGTGGCGTTGCCCCCGTGTGATCCGCAGACGCTTGTGCATCTATTCCATGGTCTCGCGGCCATTGTTAAATGTTAAAGTGTTACCAATCCAGCTAAAACTTTCAGACACATCGATACCTATAGATAAACACATGCACCCTCCAATCACAATTAAAATTACCAGTTTGTCATTTACTGCCGCTTGAATTTGGAAATGGTGTAGTTCAGGAATATCGCTCGTGTATATTAGGTAAAGCACTGGTCCCAATACCCTGCCTTGTGGTACTCCAGCTTTAATTTCTTTGAGTTCCGAGTAAGCGTCTTCCTGCTTAATCCTGAAAGCCCGTTCAGAAATATAGGATTTTAATAATTGTGACAACTGGTTGGCAAGAGCTTATTTAATTTATAACTAAGCCCCTCATGCCACACTTTATCAAAAGCCTGTGCCACGTCAGGAAAGACAGTAGAGCAAACTTTTCTTTCCTCCAATGATTGTTCAATTAAATCTTTGATCCGGTGGACTTGATCTATAGTTAAATGTTTTTCTCTGAAGCCAAACTGATAGTCCTCAATTAGGTTTTTTTCTTCAATAACTGGTTTCAATCTTCTTAGAAGTATCTTTTCAAACGGTTTTGAGATTACAGGCAGAAGTGAGATTTGCCTGTAAGACGAAACTACATTTAACGGTTTTCCAGGTTTAGGAACCATGATCATTTCCGCTACTTTCCATAGCTTAGGTAGGTACATATTTCATTCTAAAAGACGCATTGATGAGGTAGGCCAGTTTAACAACTGCTTTACGAGGAAGTTGTTTTAAAATTACTCCCGTAATTAGGTCAAATCCTGGAGCTTTTTTCTTTAATTTCTTTTGTTATTTTTTTGGATTGGCTGGTCTAATAGTACCTTCTTGTTGAATAAAGTTTTCCCAGTCGAGAATGTCTTCACCCTCATTCAGCTAGAAAGTCTCTTCAAGATATTCTGCGAACCTGTTAGCTTTTTGAATATTCCTTTTTGCCCATGTACCATATGCATTTTTAATTGGTGGATGTTGCAGGATTGGTCTTTTTAGCTTTTTGGTAGCTTTTTAAAGTGAATAGTCACTTTTACTATCATTTGACAATTCACTTAGGTATTCACCAATAGATTTTTCTTTAATTTTTTGAATCTCTCTCTTGAGCTGTTGTGTGGCATTATTTAATATAGTTTTATCTGGTGATCTTGTTTGGTGCCATATTCTTCTAAGTCTTCTTTTTTCACGAATAAAGTCTCTGATTTCTTTGGGGTAGTTGTTACCTTTGGTTCTCTGCCTAATGTCTGGAGTATTGTCCCATGCAGCTTATTGGATTATCTTAACAAATGATTCTGTTTCATTATCTAGTTCTTGATTTCTTAGAGGCATTGACAGATTGATACTTTTATGAAGTTGTAATCTAAAGCTTTTCCAGTCTGTCAGTTTATTTACTAATCTAGGAGCTATTTCCTTTTGTATATTACTGTCACTAAGCGTGAGTAGAAGGGGAGAATGGTTAGAATTCATATCCCAAGCTTCTTCCACGTGTATATAGTTTACTGATATTTCTGGTTATGAAGAAGTCAAGCAAATCTGGGATTTTGTTGGGGTCTGTAGGCCAGTATGTTGGCTGACTAGTTGATATTGTTTCACATTTTAGTTTACTAACAGTCTGCAGCAGTTCCTTTCCCTTTGTATTTGTTAACCTGGATCCCCAATGAACATGCTTGGTATTGAAATCACCACCTAAGATGAACCTATATCCGTGGCTGTTAAGAAAGTCAAAATATTGTTCTTTTTTGAGGGAATGTTTTGGCGGATAGTATATTGCAGAGACAACGACCTCATATGTTCTGGTTTTCACTTTTACCGAAGCAGCTTGGAACTGTTCCGATTTATATCCGATTTCTTGATAATGCTCAATTGATTCCTTAATTACAACTGTACTTCCACCTTTGGCTGCATTTTCAGGATGTATAGTGTAGATAAATTAAAACCAAAGAAATTATGTGTTGTCTTTCTGTGCTGTGATTTTAATTTTTGGATTCCGAGCGTACATTAGGGCCCTGTTGAATTTACTAACATTTTCCTACCCTGACTAGCGAATATCCTAGCAAACAAATTGAAATAATCAATCTAGAGATATTGACTCAAAAACAACTATTATAGCTAAGTAGCTTCCCGTATGGGACCTCAGTACCTGCTGCTGAAACTGGCTAACTAACCCAAAAACTCTTCAGTAATGAATATAGGTAGTGTTGATTGAATGTTGTCTGTGGAATTAAAATTTTAGCACAAAGACAAAGAATGGTACCTAATTTAAACTTTTTTGACTTAAATTATTAAATTAATGACTCACAATTATTATTAAAATGACACAGTATGTTTAGATTTTTGAGGAATGTTAGATCGAGGGTTTCTCTGCCTTGCTATTTCCCCTCATTAGTTCCAAATCGAGAACGGTACGATTTACTTTAATAATAAAGTAGACGTTTCACAAATTTTTCGTTTCTCTTACGTATCACAGCGTCCCTTAAATTTTCCAAATATTTGCTATGTCGGGTCCAGTAAGTAAAATTGTGTAAGTTTCCACAACGCAGGTCCTATTTGATTTTCATTTCGTTTTTCAGAAGAATTGTTGTTTTAAAGGTAATAAAAATTCACACCGTTCAATCTTACTGAACGAACCCGGGGTTGGTATACTACAATACAACGTATGAATTTTTTCTAGTTGGAATTGTGGTTGTTCCACCTTGTATATTGCATTTAATTTTTCTTGCTCAGCTGATTTCCAGCTGTTAAACAGTATCTGTTCATTTTGCGTATGCTGATTATTTTCTCGGAATAATACCTAGTTGGTTTCCATTACGGTAGTTGCTGACACTGCTAAAGGATGACTAAACGCCATCCTTTTCTATTTAACTTGTTCACGCATCATTACACGCAAACACGACACCCGGCGTTTGTTTATATTAACCAAGCGCATAAAAATAACTACGTGTTTACCGTTCAATAGCTAAACGAATACTATGATCATTAACTTGCTGGAGTTTATTTTCTCTCATTCGACTGATCGGTATCATTGATGATATTTCATCAACTTTGTGAGATTGGGTTGTTTCTGAGAATAATCCTGTAATAGTCTGCTACCTACTCTTTACTCTATAACGTGTAAGTCTAAGTAATCCCTAAAGACTTTAGCGTGCAGTTGTTGTCTATAGTCGATTGTTCATTTCGTTACCTCATAGTAATTGCGCCTTCAGTTTCATGGACACTGTCTATTTTATATTTCATGAGCCTTCTTGTGGATCCTGCCTCATCAATTCATGTTGCTTGTGCAGCACTCGGAGCTCTAGATGTGGCTTGATTTCTTTGTCGCTCTTCTTTTAGTTGTTATGTGCAGCGTCGCCTCCAGACACACCTGAGTCTGTATGATTTCACCATTTTCATGGGTGTCCTTTAACGCAGAAGAAATGGCGTTTTTCCTCTACTGCCAGTTAACTGGCACCTGAAGGGACGTCACTTTTCAGATAGTTACCGGAATAACTACACTGCAGTTTGTATTGACATATTAGTTGGCCACAGCCTGTAAATAATGAACAATAACCAACGGCTTGGACTGACTTATAGATAGTGTAAAAAGTTGTTGTAATAAGTAATTTATTCCATAGTTTGCTCCTGATTCATCCAAAAGTAAAAAATCTCCAAATTCAAAAAAAACTAACACCAACTATTCAAAAATTAATGAAGTAGGAATATTGTCACCCCAAGAAGAAGAACCAGAAGAAGAAATTTTGAAAAAAATCACTCTGGCTACTTTTTATTGCGACCTGAAAACTGTCAATTGGAGCGATAAGACTTTGGATTTTTACTGGGCCGATCATCCACGAATGGGAGATAGAGCTTTGAGAATCGATAATGGCTCTTTGTTGGTAATTGAATCATCGAAAATCTTTTAGAGAACTTAATTGTAAGGTAATATTTTTTTAGGACCTAGATTATAATTTAGATAGTACCAAGAAAGCAAGGAAAGTCACTCAGGGACCAGAAACAGAACCGGAAAAAGCAGCTCTACCTCATGTTTTGACTTGCCAGATAGGATTTGGATGGAACAGATAAGAAATGTCAACGCAAAAACTCTTTCTACGTTTATAAGAGCACTTATTCAATTTGAATTGGCCCAAATCTTAACAAAACAATATTACTTACTTAATGCTAGATTATAAAGGGTCCAGTACGTAAGTAAGCTCCCATTTATAGTTTTAAATTTCATAGTTCTATATTGGTGGACTAATTACTGAGCAATAATAAACTTTTAAGTATCGTATCATTCGTATCACGTAATTTTCTTAAATTATTCATTCACGTCTGCTACAATACTAAAAAAACGTGGGCTGACGCAACTCAATTAATTATAAGCCCTTTGAGCCTTTGTCACTAAAAAGGGCAATTTTAATACACCGAATGGAGATTAATGACAAAGACAATGGAAAGCACAAGAGGAACAAATGGCGCAACAAAACTGAATTCATTTTGACTTCGCTAGGATACGCGATTGGAATCGGGAATATTTGTCGGTTTCCGTATTTGTGCTACAAAAACGGCGGAGGTGAGCATGGTTTGTCAATTTTTATAATAGATAAGTAGCCTAGAGTAGGAAACGGTAACAAGATTGGGCTGGATAAGGCGAGAGTTAGAACTAGATTGACATTGACTTTACTTTATATGACTGGTATTTTTCCTCGCTGCAGAAGAGGTTAATAGTTTGTGATAGTTTGGACTTATTTCTAGAAAAGGTGAGATATAATGTCAGCGCTATATCCACTTAAGTCGGATAGAAAGTCATTTACTTGAGGAAGCTTGTTATATAAAAAAAAGAAACCATTTTAAGGGTACCTTATACCTACGAATGCAATATAAATTATCTACTTTTCGATTTTTAAAAACACTCTGGCAAGGTGACCGTGGAAAGTAGAAAATTTCCGCGGCAAAATAGAAAGTGGATCCAATTGCGTGTGGTAAATACAGCGCAGTTGCTACATCTCCAACTTATCTAGAGCTACCACAGTTTCTAGAACGAATCCAAGTGAATTCTCACTACGAGATATTCGCACATACAGTCAGGTCCAGGCTACTAGACACATATGCTTCAATGGGATGCCCATACCCATATCACTGCGAGATCGTTACGATAGATCATTGATCCTCCCTGCAATTCGTGCATCTTCGGCAGCGTGGGTGTACACGGCTTCGGCAGCCGCCTAAGCCGGATTCCGGGTACAACCTAATTACTCCCGATATGTCTAGTAGGATGATCCGGCCTGTATAACAGTCTCATTATATAGTTTGCTTTCTCTGCTTAGTTTACGCTTTTTCCATAGACCCTGGATAATTTGAGCGTTGAAATTATATTATTTTATCTTTTGTAGGTGCTTTTCTAATTCCATACCTGATAATGCTGTTCTTCTGCGGAGTCCCTCTATATTTCATGGAAACAAGTCTTGGCCAGTTTTCCAGCTGTGGATGTTTGACTGTGTTCAAAATTGCTCCTCTATTTAAAGGTGAAGCATTGATGTACCAATCAACCAACCAATCTGAAATTAGTCTAAATTTTAGGTGCAGGCCTATCAATGATTGTAGTAAACTTTATCGTTACGACATATCTCATCATGCTGTGTGCATATCCGCTGTTATTTTTGTATTATTCCTTTGGCACGGTAATGCCGTGGACTGAATGTAGTACTGACTGGAACACTCTTGCTTGTTTTAAGGTAGGTACCTAACTTTCTAGAGGAAATACATAATTTTATAATGCCCATTTGCACTCATTGTTTGATCTTGATCCACTCTTGAATGAAGATCTCTTCCAATCACTTCGTAATATTTCATTTCCTGCGCCAGTCTCTATATCCATCCTGTTGATATTTGCAGCTACTGTTAATGTCAACCGCAAACCTCAGATGATTAAGATGGGAACCATTATTGTCCATACCTTTCTTTTTCCAGTTTTCGAAGACAAGCTGAGGAACAAGTGAGAACAGCTTAGGTGACATACCTACTTGTCTCATCTATGTGGAACTTTCTATTTTCTTGAAATACCCTGCTATTATTCGTAGCGTGGTATGATGGTCATCGATCTTTCTATAATTCCGATACTGTCCAAGGATTCAGAATGAATTGTCGGATGCTTTATAATAGTTTAATAAAGTAATTTATTCAAATATTCATAGGCGCCTGTTTGGTATGATTCCCACAGCAGCTTCCCTATACTACTTCCTCCAAGTTCCAGCTTCTCTGCAGTAGCCTGATTTTTTCCCTAATTTTTTTTATCCTGTTTTTCTACGTCATGAAGAGAGCTTTGAATGCTGTGCAATTTGCATGTATGTGCGGATTTATTTTTCAATTTTTTTGTTTAGATCTTCAAGTCTGTCAGCAGTTTAATTTTTTCAATTCTGGAATTCTGTTTGATCATGGTTTGTGGTTTCCAGTAAATGAAAAATGGAAGATTCAAAATTTGTGTTGGAGAATAGCGAAATATTTGCATTGATTTTGGTTATTCGTGGAGAAATTTTGTGAACTAATCGATGCTCCAGTTCTTTCTAAGAGCTAGATTACGTTAAATCACGGTATGTGTTGTTCTTCATTAGGTTGAATTCTTCATTTTCAGATTCTTGAATCATGAGCTTAAAGATGACCCATTGGAAATTAAGCCGGTAGGTGACCACTACTCATCAGAATGGAAATTAAAGTTTGTAACGCTCTTTTGTCGGAACAAAAGAATGCTCATAATAGTGCTCGACTATGCTCAGTGGTTCTTTAGCTTGGGGTGGTCCTTGGTGTTGGTACAGTAAAGAGAGGGCGCCACTAGTTTGTATAAAATTATTTTCATCATCAAAGAATAGCCAAACTAGACACTATTCAAAAAGTTAGCTATTATTTGAAAAGATAAATTCAAAAATCTGAAATTGTAATATAAATCCAATACCTATCTGACATTTAACCTCTTCGATAAAAACACAAGCTTGAGAATTCTAAAAACAATAATTTATTGACCGGATGGCGAACTTGGAGAGATAAATAACAATGGCATATATAACAAATCCCCTCTTATTAGTTAAGTTTTTCAGGTTTTTTGACAGTGCGACCTGATTTAGTTTTATTAAAGGTATCCAAAACTTTTGATCCGGACATATTAACTTCTGGAGACTGAGACTGATTAGGAATAACAATTTTAGGTGTCTCAGGCTGAGTATGACTCGAAGAAGGTTCAGGGACCTCAGGAAAATGAACCTTTTCATTAAGAACATAATTATTTAAAGATTCTCTGAGATCATTTAGTCGGCGCAAATGTTTAAGTTCAGACAAAGAATCATCATGTGACCTGGTCCAACACCAGTCAACATCATTTCTGGTCAATTCTCTAAGTGGCGCTGTCACTCTTGACATGTTTTGTACAAATTTGCCTAGATATTTAGCCATACCTAAAATTCTTAACAACTCAGTTTTGTCTTTAGGTTTTGGCCGAGGTTTTGGCATTTCAAGAATGGCTTTGAGGTAATTTTTATTTAATTCAATGCCGCTCTTAGAGTATATGTGACCCATAAACTTGACACTTTTGGCCTTAAATTGAATTTTGTCTTTGTTGAACTTAACATTATACTTTTGTTTTGTATCTAGAACTAAACGTAAACTTTCATCATGCTCGCGCTGATCACAACCCGTAATTATCAGGTCGTCGAAATACAGACCCACGCCTTTGATATCGCCAAAGATTTCGTAATTTAGTTTCTGAAAGACTTCGGGGGCTGAACAAATTCCAAATGGCAATCTACAAAAGGCATATCTGTCGAAAGGTGTCCCAAATACACAATACTCTTGACTTTGTTCATCGATCCGAATCTGGAAATACCCGTCTTTCATATCCAAAACTGTGAAATATTTTTTCTCACTCAATTTAGTTGCAATTTCTTCAGCAGTTGGAATTAAAAATCTTTTTCTTTTTAGTTCAAAAATTTGGGATCTAGGCAAGAACAAGATTTTCCTCGGAGTGGGAAATGAGAAAAATCAAGAGCTCGCGAAGGCAAGAGCGCTGTGTTCCTGAACAGTCTTTTCTTCGCCGGGATCGCTAGAAAGTACTGTCCGCTACCTATTATTTAATACTTCTCTATTTTAATTCATAGTCAATCTCAGATAGTAGAAGAGGTCTGGGATTCATGGAAGCTGCCATTTTATACAAAAGGTAGAATTTTGAATTATTCCGAAAATACAGAATTAAATTTCCGGGAAAAAATATCAAAAGTCAATATAGTTATTTTCCTAACAAGTGCGCAAAGTGATACTTTACCGCACGAAAAAGCAGTTAGACGAACGACCCGAAGCGGAGTTTGGGTAAGCTTTGAGTGCGGGAAAGACACTTTGCGCAAGTATTAGGAACAATACTTTTTTCTGTGAATGTTTGAAGATTTGCATAACATCCAGAGGAGCTGTACCTAGTCTTCTTAAATATTTCCAGATGCTCAAAACTGGTAGTTTTCTGTCCTAGTTCAATGTGTAGAGTTTTCAATTTTTTTTTTTTCAGTAATCAGCTTGACTTTATTTGCAACATTGGTTGTGCTAGGGAGGTTTATTAAAGTTTGAACAAGTCGTTAAGTTTGTTTTTTCTGCCAAATTTTCGTATGAAGGAGTATAACTTACAGTCCAACTTTTATAATCTGATACTCCAAAGAAATGTGAGTTGGTAGCTCCCCATGCCAATGGTCACCTGACCTCATATCTGTTTTTGCTCCCGTCATTCCTCATATGGAAAGTGTCAAATTAAAAAAACTAAACATTACCTGAATGCCTTTGTTGGAACAAAAATAACATCAGGCCCGTCTTTTCGAATAAAAGTTTATCCAGAAACCCACAAAGCATTGAAAAATCGAGTATAAATGCGGTAACTATGCGTAACAAAAATGAGTGCACAAAGAGTTTCCGTGCGCAAAGTTCAACTTTGCGCACGCAAATGAGTGCGGAAAGTAATAACTTTGCGCACGCAAGGAGAAAAAGTATGTTATAATGTTAATTAAAGAAAATGTTCAGAAAAAGAGATAAAAGAAAAATTTAAGCAAAAAAAAGACTTGTGTAATCATGAAACGGTCAATGTCAGATTTTTTCAACCTTTAAAACACAAAAAAAGAAAGTTATAGATAGTTTATTCTAAACTGTCTAAGAATTTAGGCTAAGTTAAACGTTGTTCAAGGCCCCATTACGTTGGTCGCCAATTTATGTAACGCTCTTTTGTCGGAAGAAAAGAATGCTCATAATAGTGCTCGACTATGCTCAGTACCCGGCTTATTGGGTCGCAGTAGAGCGGTGAAAACGAGCTATCTGCGGCCAAGCAATATGGGGCCGGGTTGCAAGTTGGATGGATGACCGCCGTGTCACCCGATGCCGAGTTCAAGGGAATCTCACCAGTAAAGGCGCATCGAGGCACCGCTAACGTCGGTTGACCGTCCAACTTGCAGAGTGAATGAGGAGGAGTAGGGCATGTGCAAGGATACACAATAAGTCTTTAAGGCTGCAGTGCTGAGCATATGCCTGAAAGAATAGAGTAAATTAATCAATCAATCATGCTCAGTGGTTCTTTACCTTAAAGTGGTCCTTGGTGTTGGTACAGTAAAGAGAGGGCACCACTAGTTTGTATAAAATTATTTTGATTATCAAAGAATAGCCAAACTGAACACTATTCAAATAATTAGCTATTATTTAAAAAGATAAATTCAAAAATCTGAAAAGGTAAAATACCAATACCTTTCAGACCTTTAACCCCAAATAAAAACACAAGCTTGAGAATTCTAATAACAATAATTTATTGACTGGATGGCGAACCTGTTGTTCATTAACATTGAAACAAATAAATTGCTTAAAGGTGAATATTGTTCAGTATCCAATTTAAAAAAAAAATAAAATACAAGCCTGGACGGAATCCTTGTAAAGCCTCGGAAGTTTTCACAAATTTGAGTTCCGGAGATACCAAACTGGCTGGAGACAACCAAATAATGGTTGGGGATCAACTTCTTACAGGACACAAACTTTCGTTGTAAAGCTGGGCCAGATTTGCTCTGAGTTTCCAGGACAGCGTGGCCTCAAATTCGTCAATTTTCACTTGAAGAAGTGCAGACATGGATGTTCCGTCCTGCCGAAGGTGCCTGAATGAATTGAGAGAATATAAGGACTCATTCATCAGAGAGAAAAAGGAATAGTAACTTCACTTTCTAAAATCTTTTGTGACATTTCAAATGTTACAGGTTTCCTTTCCAGAAGTAAGTAAGTCTTCGGGATTTTTCCTTTTCACCATTAACCATATTGTTCCCGTGCTGAGACTAGGTAGTTAACAAAGTACCTACTTTGAATCAAAATAGGAGCAAATGGGCATAAGAAGTTTGAAATAAAACGAGAACTAAACCTTTTATGCTGTTGCAACTTTTCAATATAATTGGCGTGAGGGATAGTCTCATTCATAAAAATATCATTATTTTCTATGTTTTTCTAGTTGGATAATACAACTGCTTTCAACAATAGAAGCTATGTTGATCTAAAATCGTCATCAGATGAGTTTTTTCAGTAAGTTTCTGGAAGAATATTATGTTAACCAAAATAGCAACCAAACAATAAATCCATGTAATATAGGTAGGCATATTCATTTATACGGTTTCACCCCTCATAGGCCTTTGTGCATAATACATTATCAGGTCTGTTCGAAGGAAAAGTCAGAAACCAATCAAGAGATTTTTTTCTGTGGCATTGACCAATTAAATCGCTTGATTGCAACATGACAATTTTATCGATTTTCCAGCAACAAAATCCTCCAAATATCCTCGCAAATCGAAGACACCGGCTCCATAGTTTGGCCGTTATTCATCTGTAATACCGTGGCTTGCCTGGTGACTTATTTATGCATAAGCAACGGGATCAGAAGCGTGGGGAAAGTCGTTTATTTCACCACCATATTTCCATTACTAATACTTTTAGTCCTATTACTTCGGGGACTTACCTTGCCAGGAGCAATGTACGGAGTATGGTTTTATATTTGGCCTCGATGGGACGAATTGATGAATTTCAAGGTAAGATCTGCCAACCTGTTGCGGATTATAGAATATGTCATATTTTTTATTTTATACTGTCTGCAATGTGGCACATTACCTTATTATTGATTTAAGTTTGGAAAAGTCTTCGAGAACATTTTGTATTTTATGTTTGGGTAAAACCATTGAAAGGGTAAAACCAATAAAATTTACTTTGGATCACATCAGGAAGACAAGACTAATAAAAATTGATTTAGGTTTGGTGTGACGCAGCTATCCAAATATTCTATTCCCTCGGTCCAGGTTGTGGTGGAATATTAAACATGGCGAGCTACAATAGTTTCACAAATAACAACAAAATTGACTCTATACTGGTACCGCTCTGCATTAGTGCCACCAGTATTACGGCTGGATTTGTGGTGTTTTCTGTTTTGGGATTTATGTCACATAAAACTGGAATTCCGGTGAGAATCGAAACAGTTTTATTGTTTTGAATAAAGCTTTTTCTATATAACATTTTCTTCACACTCATTAGGTGTGTCTAAATGAAAATAAATATGTTTATTTTTGTTTTTATTTAGGTTTCTTCAGTAGCTTCTGGAGGCCTAGGACTTGCCTTTGTGACATATCCAGAAGCAATAAGCCTACTACCATGGGCTAATTTTTGGGCTATCCTATTTTTTCTAATGTTGTTTTTTGTTGGAATGAGTAGTGCCGTAAGAACAATCAGGGCATTGTTGGTTTAGATTATTACTCTATTTTCAGTTTGTAACAATTGAAGCCATTATAACAAGTATATGTGATGAATTTCCTGTACTCCGCAGACACAAATTATTCATAACTTTTTTTACTTGTTGTATAATGTGGGCGTGTTCGACGATATTCACGACAAACGTAAGTGGAAGAAGTTGCAATGATTTTCATAGAAAATTTTATATACTTGAATAGTTGGGTGTGCTAAAGTTTTACATTATTTTAGAGTGGGATGTACTGGTTAACTCTACTAGACTGCTACTCAGTCTCGACTAGTATTGTTCTAATTTCCTTAGTAGAAGTAACCATAGTCGGATGGACTTACGGAGCAAAATATTTCCTTAAAGATATTGAATTTATGATCAAAAAGAAAGTTTCGTGGTTGTGGTTTATTAGTTGGAAATTTTCAATTCCAGTTATATTGATTGTGAGTATTTTTCATGCATTTTATGCCATCTAGAAGGCACTACTTCGTCTTCTCGTATTTTGTCAGCGGCAAATCAATGCTGTAGAATACCATTCAAAGTAACAAAAAAATTGAAAATCCTATCACAGAAGGAAACAGTTTCTTAACAGAAGTGTTCTAGACATTTCCTTCCTCCCCTCATCAATGCACCAGCCAAATCAGTATTTCAATAGATCAATTTTTTGATTAAATAGGTAATATATATTTTAGGCAATATTTATAATGACAATCAAAACTGACACCGATATAACTTATGATGGCAAAACCTTCCCAAAATGGACCATAGACTTAGGATGGGACTGTTGTTACGTATCTATGGCTTGTATACCATTGTATATGGGTTACCATTTGTTGTATATTGAAGAAGGCGATTTTATTCAGGTGAGGCCCGATCGAAGAATCTGATTCTTCAATAATTAATATATAGGCAGAATATTCATTTTGATTGGCCTTGAATTCTGTAGAGAAATTGAATTATTTATTATTACAGCGAATTTTCTCATCGTTCTTTCCATCAAAACATTGGGGACCTGTAGATGAAAACACCAAACTGAAGTGGATCAGGGAGGTGAAATTAAGGCAAGTAGGTGGCAAGTTTGTTAAGAAGAGGCCCCAAGAAATCCTACAGCTAATAACGACTGTTTAATTTTGTTTTCTTAATATAATTTTCACAAAAAATAGGCTTTTTATAATTAGATCCCGGTTTTAATCCAGATTCACATCAAAGTTTGAAAAAGTGGATGAAACTAAAGGTAAAAAAAAACCTAATTAGGTTAAAGTTAATTTTCTTTTGAAGCTGAATTTTTTGAGGTAACCTTGTTTACTTATTCTAATTTGACTTGATGTTTTTCTTTTGTAGAAATATATTGTTTAAAAAACAGGAATAATTTTTTTTAAGTACCTACCTACGTGTTGAAGGATATGGATGTAATAAATTTAATAGAAGAAGAAATACATGGACTTTTGAACAGTGGAAATTTTTTGTTTGTTTCATTCTTTAGTTGAGAGGAAGTATAGGTACCTGCATTCAAATCTTTGTATAATTTTCCGAGGATGAATAGAAACCTTTGACAACATTCGTCTTCAAGATTACTCTCAGTGGCGCCTAACGCCCAAAATGAGGTGGCAACCTGTGAGCAACCCCGCTATTACTAGTAATTTCGGACTCCCACCCAACTCTCCTGAGCAGGATGAAATTGAGCCCACAAAGGTAGCTTTTGCTACGGAGAAATACCCCATCCCTCATAACGTGCTTGCTGATCTACCAGTCACACTCGAATTATCTTCCGTGTGCAGTTGGTACAAATAGCATAGGAAAATGGCTGTAGTGGTTATAATCCCCAAACCCGGAAAAAAACCTGTAACTCTCATCCTCTTACCGCCCAATCTCCCTTCTAAACTCCTTTGCCAAGCTTGTGGAGAAGTTCATCCTTGCCAGAATCAACAGAATCGAAGAAAACTTCTCCATACTCCCAATCGTGCGGTTCAGATTGCGCCTTCGTCACAACACCACTCTTCGTCTTTCAAGGGCTCAACAAGCACATGAGCACGACTCTTTTGCTCCTAGACATGGAGCGCGCCTTTGATAGGGTCTGGCACCCAGGCTTTATCTACAAGCTACTCGCAACATTCGATTTCTTATTGCATATCATCTCCCTGATATGATACTGTCTACTGTCAATCATAAGTGGCCGCACTTTCTGTGTCAAACCAAAATGACGCTCTCTCAAACTCCAAACCCATAAAATGGCTGGAGTCCAGGGTCGGCAATCAGTACGCTGCTGTCTGCTGTACTCTCTATACACATCGGACATTCCAAAGTTGCGAAATACAAAGTTGGCGTTGTACGCAGATGACATTGCTGTTTAAGTACTCTCAATCCCACTACACACAAGCAACTAAATTTCAGCTAGCCCATCACCTATCTATCCTTCAACACTAATATGAATTCAAAATTCTTTATTTCCTGTTCTGACAATTTTGTACATTGTATTAGGAATATTCAAGCGAAAATTTAAATCTAAAAACTTATACTAGAAAGCATACACAGACAGACACATACACATCCAAAATACATGCACTCACACAAGCACAAAAATACAGGGTGTATCAGGTTTGACTGCAAAAATTTTAACACGTGAAAATATGGCCCATTTTGAACAAAAAAAGTTTATACAACATGGGGTCCAAACTCAACCATTTTTAAGAAAAAGGCCTTTGAAGTTTTGATATTTTTTAACGAAAATTTTAAATATAAAGAAAATTTTAATCATTATAAGATGTTAACAAATTTAGTTTATTCAATTATCAGGTAATTATGCATTTTTAGTCAACAACAATAACAAAAACTTGAAAAAACAACGTAAAAATTTCACTTGTAAATCGGTATCTAAACATCTGGCAACATAGCACAATAAAGATTAGGTGGTTGAACGTTGAACCTTGGTTGAACTGAATAAAAATGTTTCTTGATTTGTCTTGTCTAGTTGGGAAAGGCGCGTAATTAAAATTCATTCTTTTTTGGAAATAAAATGTTTACAAACGTCGAATATGCAGGTACTTGTTTAGGCAGAATCGTTGGAAAATGCTCGTTTAGCCGCCAGAATTTACAGGGAAAGATTTCCCAAAAGACGAGCTCTCACCTGATGAAAGAACATTGTGTCCGTTTTATAAAGGTTGCGTGATTCATGTAGTGTTAGTGTGCAAAATCTGCGTGTTGATTTTAGTGTTTTGAGAACCTTTTAACAAAAACTAATATTTTCATAATAAGGATTTGGCAAGTAGCTGAGTAAGTACCTATTACTTGATTTTTCTCTTGAATGTTAAGTGCAAAAATGTCAGTGACTGCAATTCACAACTTAAAAAAACGGCACATTTCTTATTTTTACTAGAAAAGTAATTAAAATGCAAGTTGTTATTTACATTATTTGAAAGCCAATAACAAACCAAAACGTGAACAGATGAAAATAAATAAACTTCGTGCAAAAAATAGTATATTATGATATAAGTGTATAAGAGGGCATTTAAAGCACGCGCGACATATTTCAAAACACGACGCGCAGCGGAGTGTTTTGTAAGTCGCAAGGGATGACAAACCGCCATGAGTGTTTATTGTGGCTCTGGCCTAGGTTTAAGTAGGTACTGTATCACAGGAGGATCACAAACTACTATTTACATACAGTATTTAAATACACTATTTCTAACATCATAAAAACAACAGTTTTAAGTATAATTAACAATGCAAATAATTCCCAATTAGCACTATTTAAAACTCATAACACCATTTGATAACACATAAACAAAGGATTTGTGTACCTCTTGGCGGACATTTTAATTTAAGTTTGACAGCATCTTGCATAGTGTAATTAGGCACTAGCTGACGTCACAAACATACCCACACTTTCGTTGGGAGGACAAAGCGTTTAAAGGACTATTTATACCAATGACATCTTAACACAGATAGACACCGCATCTCATTTATAAACTGATGTTTGTTGTGAAGACAAGACCACCCATGGGCTAGGAGAGGTGAGCTGCTCGAGGGGGGTCATGGTAGGGATGCATCATGGGTGTAAACAATACCAGTATTCTCCTCTGAACCTGTCATTCACTTGACCAAAATAATCAAAAAATGCGCACTGGTGCAGCTCGTTCATCTATCTGTCTACTTGTAACTCATATGTTGTAAGTTTGATGGGCCAAAACTTACAAAACCGGCGTTTTCAGTAGTCGTTTTAAGTCTTGAAGCTCCAACTTTTTGAAGCAAAGTCCTAACAGGATAAAATATCAATCCCTAACAATTCGGCAACCAGATTGGAGGTTATACACCGAGGCTGGGTGGATTGTCTCCTAGATGTTGGTGACGCGAAATTTTCTTCACTGTAAAGTCTATCTTGGTAATAACATAAGGCGATTTCGCCCCAGATTTTCATTCGCTGTTTGGTAGGCGAATGGTTAACCAACTGGTACGTGAGTGATGTAGCTCAACAATCTTATCCGTGTAGGGCGTTTGGTACATTTTGACTTTGACATGTTTATTTAGAATTGAAATAATGTGCTTCAAAGTGAGACAGAAAGCTACTAAACCTGCACTACCCAGTTGAACCGCGGTATAGCATTTGACAGACGGGAATGCCCTATCAGTGAAATGTCATTGTAATTTATACCTATTACTTCAAAATTCCATGTCAAAATATTATTTTGTTGTCCGAAAATTTCCGTCTTCGAAAAGCTTGCAATTCATTCAAATTATTAGTGTTCTACCAAAGTCGTCATCATGGTGAAATTCGAAGAACCAGATGAACCTCCAACAAGACGTTCTACCGAGTCACGGGAAAGGATGCGCGCGCGCAAGAAAACCGCCGGAGTCATCGTAGCCAAAGTGGATCTGGGGCGATTGCGCAAGAAAATCATCAGTTGGTGGGAGAAAGAGAGCATACAATATGCGTGAGTAGACCCTCAAAATTTTCTTAGACAAAAAGTTAATATGCTAATGCAGAATTATATAGATATCTTTGATCATAATTGCATGCTTTGATTTGGATTTCCGGGGTTTTTCGTTTTGGTAGTGGATTTTCTTTATAATCCTCAATTTTAGCATCCAAAATGCTTGGCCACCAACTAATTATCCGGAACCACTATTCCATCTTTCCACAGCCTCGTTGGTTTTTCCGGAAACCTTCGATAGCCAATTTAAATCAGGTTCAGAGTTCTATAGGATGTGTTAAGACTCTTCTAGAAATAGTTAATCAATTCGAAAATATTTTTCTTTTAGCTTGAGCTTGAAATTGAACCTCAATTCATTATGCAAGGATCTGTAATTTTCAGGCCAAGAACTCAAACAATAGTTTCCACCTTGTGTCAGAGTCATGTCATTGTTAATGGATGTTTAGTATATGATGTACTCTATTTCTGGATCATCGTCGGCTGATTTTCATCAACGGCTACCGTCTCGGATAACAAACTTCGGTCTCGGCCGTTATTTGCTATCTATGGGCCTTCGTACGTTAGTGGGTACCTAGCTAAATATTCTTTTTCGTAACAAGATGATTCTTTCAATATTCAGTGCCACAACGCTTCTTGAGATTTTAGCGAAACTTTCTCAAGAATGGTTCCTGATTAGTTTCTTAATCTATCTATCACAATGTCAGAAATTAAATTATCCACCATAAAAGAATTCTTTAGTTTCAACCTGCTCTTTCTTGCTCCAAAACACACATAATGTTGTATACCTCAAGCTTGTTGTAAACTGTTTTTCAAAAATGGGGACATGCTCTATCTGTTAACGAGTTAGTCCTACTGTGAAATTGTATTTAGCGGATTCTTAACGTACCTACCTAAATATCTATTCCCGAACCTAAAATTATTAGGTAATAAAAAAAGTATTGTAAGATTTCTACTATCTCATAACCAAAATTAAAGCCTTATAGTTCCAAAAGTCAATTTAGTTACCAAAAAAGTCTTTGTTACCAATTTCCTAGAAAAGGCGCAAAATATTCAGGTCGGTGGTGTTGTCTAGACCACCCTCGACAACAAAAGGGAAAATAAATGATGTGAAAGTTTATTAGAAAATAAGCTTTCCCATGCAATTTTCGTGTAAAGAACTAATACAAAAGAAGGAGAAGTTCATTGCACTAGGGGCCCTAATAGCCATCTATATACTTCATTTTATAGGTGGCTGTTATCGCCTTGAGTTTAGTTTAATCAAAAGCTCGCAACTGTTACCAAAATATTTACAAAAATAACAATAATGGGTAAATATAACATCCTAAATCTTCTTCACGCACTGATCCACCATCAGGAAGCGACTGACACAACATGCGGATATAATAAAGAAAAGTTGGAGAAATGGGCCAAAATAGTTGTTAAAAGTTTCCGCGAACCGTTTAATGTAGATCAGTTGGATGTTATCATGTTGTCGGCGAGGAGACATTCTGGTGACATTCCAGAGGACGTGGCTTGGGATAATGTGCAAGCGGTGAAGCAGTTTTTGATTGCGGTGAAAGTTCCCAAGTTTACTTGCAAGTAAGAATTTTAGAATAAGCTATATATGTGAATCAGCATATACACAATTTTGTGGATTTTTATTATTGCAATGCGATGAGGGATTGGTGCATGCCCAAATTAGTACGTGTAATTTAATTTTTTTTTAGATTTAGATTTTGGAAACACTGCAAGAAATAATGGATGCTTTGTGAAATGATACCTATAAGTCAACCAGTTATTTATTTTAGCATAAACTGCTCTTTTGACAAATTCCTGATTTGCGGGATTAGAGAGGGTCCAACGGGAATGTATTCTTAAGATAGGAGCTTTACACGGTGTAGGTTTTCCGTTTTCCTTTTTTGAGAGGGTGTAAGATAACAATGTGCCGTCATCCGATAATATTTTCCTTCCACAATCACCAAAATGCTATGCCATCTACACTATCAACAATTTCAACTTAAGAAAAATTAAGACAATTGAAAGAAAAGAGAATAATTTCCCAATTAAAAGATTCAGTTCAAAATCTGAGACTTTATCGGAAATTGAAATTAAAAAAAAAAAAATAACTATTACCTCTTTGAAGAGCTTTCACTAAAACACCGAGCGGCAGATGAACTAGCGGATGAGGAATGGATCGAGAACTCGTTGAGACTTTGCGACTTAATTTTCCGGCGATTACTCGTGGTAAAATCTAGTGGCGAATTGTCGATAACTGAAGTCATGTGGCCTCCACATCTGCTCAAATAAGCGAAAGGAACCACCCTCTGGATACCACTTTAGAAGTCCATTGGCTCTCAGTACCAGACTTGCGAGATTCGAGGATCTCTACCCTCTTAGCTTTCAGCGATTTGCTGAAAGTACCCTTTGGTTTCTTGCCGTGTTTCTATTTGCTCTCAAGTTTATCCAACCTTCCCCATCCAAAGTGCTCAACCCTGTGATCCAGTTTGATGGCTCTCCAAAAGAGTTCGCTACTTACATGTTGTCAAATTATTAATTGAACATTTACTGTTTTCCCTTTTAATTGAAAATCTTCCCCTTTTCTAATTACCTAATTGAATGTATAATATGGTTCCCTAATTTCTATCCTAATTAAATATTATAGAATAAAAGTTCCATATATTCTAACCTAATTAACAAGGGTGTGAAATGATCTAAACTCTCTAATGAACTAAAATCTCTACTAATATAATAATAAAATAATTGATTAATCACTCCTATCTTAATCTACCTATCTTAATTATAACTATACATTTGACTATAGTAATAACCCTTGATAATTATATTATTATTATACAATTGGTTATTGCATCTTAAAAATCCAGCTCATGTGATTATTGTTTCACTACACACACATATGCTTCGAATATAATATATCATTCTTTACAACGCTATCAGTAATCTGACATCTGGATTCATTATAAAACGTGGTCAGAGATTATTCTTGACTTTGAATAAATTATTACAACCACATGGGTCTGGTTAAGTCGAGAGATTAGTTTAAAGTTTAGTGTTTATCTCGGAAAACATAAATTTTGCCTATAAATTTGTCAATTTTAGATTACAGCAATAATAATCTTGAAGCTATAAAATTCGATACTTTTCTGGCTCAAGTGCTTTTTACTCTCGAACAGATTAGGCCTTTCTCAGAACTCCATGTGTTTGTAAATTTCATCATAGGGTCACATTTTAGCTATGTTTAAAAAAACTTTTCACACGAATATTGAATGAATTTGAATCGAGAATATAAATTTGTTATTGATTTTGTTCACATTACGCTTCAAATCACCGACATAAAGTAGACAATCACAGATCTAAAGGGAAACACAAAATCATTGACTATAGCAAAAATATAAGTCCTAGGACTAGGCGTGACCCTGAAGGCCCCCTAAATGTAGGAGATCTCCACTGAAGTTTCTTATAAAATCAAATTTTGAAAGGATCAAGCATATATCAAAATTCGAGTTCAGATAAATGGAGCCTTACACTTCCATGGTACTGGAACTTTACCACACAGAACATTATAGATTCAATTCATACATGTAATAATGTATCTAAAACAATACATCTAGTTCTACACTATTTTTCGCAGTCGTGCCAAGGAGACTGACTTTTCTCGCACTCGTACATTTCTGCCACAAATATTACACCTATGACCTAGATCTTGAATCTCGTTTTACTAAACCTCTCACTAAATTAAAGCTCTCTAATAACTCTGCCAATCACCTATCAAATCATAGAACGGTTGTTATTAAACATTATCACGTAATAGCGTGTGCATCAGAAAAATTAATGAGTTTTTCCTATAATGATGTGAGAGACTCGACATCCAAACGCCGAAAGATAAAACGCTCTATTGTTATTTAAAGCACCAACTTGAACTTGACACAGTCCAATTTTGTAATTTCACACGAGCCAACATGGAAAAAGGTGCCTTTTCTAACACGCTGAACGTCATGTCCGATCGGACTCATGCTGCTTTACTACCGGAATTTGCAGAACAAATTAAAGAGTGGGTGAATAAAGTTATGAGATATAGACATATGGTGCCATTTAATTCTGGAGAATTAGGCGAGGCTAGTTTGAAGGAGATTGTTGAAGACGATTTGGAAGACTCGGATAATCTTATGGCTGTAGTGGAGTTTTTGAAAAGGATTAAAGTACCGAAGTTGAGGTGCAGGTAAGACCTTGTAACGTGCGAAATTTGCGCTACATCATACCCACGTATTGTCGAGTATAATTCTTTTTGACACTGTGGTGAACCTATACAGTAACAGTAAAAGGGTAGAAGATAATTGTATTGTGATTTTATTTATAGATAATTTTAATGACTTATTTGCTTCTGATTTGAAATCATTTTTGATTCAGTAATTCTTTGGAAGTTTGGATTTTCAATTTAATGTTTTATACCTACCTACTGAAATAGAACTTGTATTTTATTTGAGAGAAAACAATTCCGTATATATTTATTTGGCTTTATGTGATCACAACCCTTTCTCTATCCATAATCTTGGAAAGTAAGTAAGTATATTGTGAGGATTATTATAGATTCTTTTGTTCTTACTTTTTTTTTTAAATTGAAATTTACTATTGGATTTAATTATTGCTTATTGGTGTTCTGGGAGAACCAGATAACAGCCTAGAGAATACTATAGCACATTCTGTCCCTTTGGCTAGTGGCGCCCATAACTACCCGCCCCACTCTCCGGTTAATAATAATTAATTTTTATTCTGAGCTGGGCATAACTTTGGCACGCACTAGACTCTCCTGGGCCCAATAACTTTATTATTATTTTTATTTGAAACTTCAATTTATTTTTATAATCAGTAGAAAGCGTGACAAATTTCTTGGCGCCCAACGTGAGGCAAAATCAATTATTTTTTTTTAAAATTATTGAAGATAATATATACTTACTATCCTGGGTTTGGAGTTTGCATGAAGCCAGGTATCTTTCTTGCCTTCA